AATTCCTCGCAGTAGTCAAGGCTATACCGCGCGAATTTAACAGGTACGTAACGGCTAGTATGTTTACTAGTGATGTTTCTGATCCATACCAAACCCTGAAACATGCCATCCTTAAACGCGGAGATCTAACCGATCGACAAAGGTTTGACCAACTCCTCAACAACATCGACCTGCAACACGGTTCTGCCACAGACATGTTGCAAAGAATGCGAGAAATCATTGGCCAAAGAACCTTCGATGACGGCCTATTCAAACAACTTTTCTTATCCAAACTTCCTCAACAGGTGCAATCTGTTTTGGTCTCGTTCCAAAACAACGCCGTAGACGAGCTAGCTGCGTCTGCCGACCGCATTCACGAAATCACTAGGTCTTCTAACGCCGAGGTTTTTTCAGTCAAAGAAAAGCATCAAACGACCCAGAATGACATAACACAGTTATGTCATACACTTACGCGCTATCTCAAACTCTGTAACGACCGTAAACGATCATTTACCCCGCGGAGAAGCACATCACGTAGGCGATCCGTATCTAGAACTCGAGAGACGGATAATCCTGATTGGTGTTGGCACCATAACCAGTACGGAAAGTCCGCCAGAAATTGCAGAAAACCCTGCAAACGGAGGTTAGTAGACGGAAACACTAATTTATCTGTTTGCCTGACTTCTTTTTCTGGTTGCAGGTTATCTCCAGTCACTATTAAGCACACTATAGACCCTTTCTATTAACCATTACTCGATAAGTATTCTGGCATTTACCAACCGCAACCGAAATTGCCGTGTGTAACCAGCAATGTTACACATCACATCACGACTACAGGACCACCTGTGTTCTCGAAAGCACGCCGACTGGCCCTCGAAAAGTTAAGGTTGGCGAAAAACGAATTCGACCATATGATAAACTTAGGAATCATACGACCGTCAAATAGCCCATGGGCATCTCCGTTGCACATGGTCCCTAAAAAGGACAGCAACGATTGGCGTCCAGCTGGTGACTATCGGCGATTGAATGCAAAAACCATTCTCGAACGCTACCCGTTGCCTTACATTCACGACTTGACAGCTACCTTGAAAGGCACAACTGTCTTTCCAAAAATCGACTTGGTTAAAGCTTATAACCAAATTCCTATGGCCACTGAAGACATTCCAAAAACCGCTATTATAACGCCCTTCGGACTCTATGAATTTTTGCGAATGCCTTTCGGTCTGAGAAACGCGGCACAGACTTTCCAAAAGTTCATAGATGACGTTTTTCGAGGTCTCAACTTCCTACATGCGTATGTTGATGACTGACTAATAGCAAGTCCGGACAGAGAATCACATCTCCAGCATCTGGACCTTGATTTCGACCGACTACAAAAACATGGCATTACCGTAAACATTCAGAAATGACAAATCGGAACCGAATCCTTAGACTTCTTAGGACACACCATAGATGCGCATGGCATTCGACCCCTTAGAAAAAAAGTGGCGGTCATTCTGGATTACCCAGAACCGACCACCATCAAGCCATTGCGCACGTTTAACGGTCTGGTAAGTTTTTATAGACGATTCATACCGAAATGCGCGTCCCTTATGAAACCCATTACTGGCCAACTTCGTGGAAATGCGAAATCCATTAATCTAGATGACACTACCCGAAAAGCATTCTCCACGGTTAAGGAACATATCGCCCGAGCAGCAATGCTTGCTCATCAGAACCCTAAAGCGCCCATTAGCATCTCAGTAGACGCATCCGACTCAGCAATCGGAGCAGTCTTACAACAATGGGTTAACCACTCCAAACAACCTTTGGTATTTTTCTCTAGATGGTTGCTAGACACTGAATCAAGGTACAGCACATTCGGTAGGGAACTCCTAGCTATGTATTATGCTGTCCGGCATTTTCAACACTATATCGAAGGCCGTGAATTTACCATTTTTACCGACCATAAACCACTTACTTTCTCCTTAAGCTCTTCTTCGGACAAGTACTCACCACGTGAGTCTCGACAACTGGACTACATTTCGCAGTTTACTTCAGATATTCGATAGATTTCTGGAGCAAACAATGTAGTTGCAGACGCCTTGTCTCGTATAAATTCCTTGAACAGTTCCCAAGGAATCGACCTTTTAAAACTCGCCCAGCTTCAAAAAGAAGACATTGATCTTCAGCCCTATTTATCGTCAACAACCCTAAAAATGCGCATTTAACAGATGGGAACAGGTCAGAAAACCTTACTGTAAGATAAATCTACAGGTAGGGGTCGCCCAATCGTGCCGAAGCAATATCGACGCAACGTCTTCGATACGTTGCACAGACTTTCTCATCCAGGTGTTCGTGCAACCATCAAGCTTATAGCAGAACGGTTTTGCTGGCCTGGTATGAATAAAGACGTGAGGGAGTGGGCACGCTCCTGTGTAAGCTGCCAGAAATCTAAGGTTATTAGGCATAACAAAGTCCCTTAGGCTCGTTTAAAACTCCCGATGCTCGCTTCGACCATGTTCATTTGGATTTGGTAGGACCTTTACCATATTCAAATGGATATTCTTATCTTTTAACATGCGTAGACCGTTTTACTCTATGGCCAGAAGCAGTACCCATCAAAGATATTACTGCTGAAATAGTGGCCCGCGCCTTCGTCTAACGATGGGTAGCAAACTTCGGCTGCCCAACAACCATTACTACAGATCGTGGACGTCAGTTTGAATCTGAACTGTTCCGTTGTCTGACCATGAAACTAGGAATCACTCGCTTCCGAACTACGGCCTACCACCCACAAGCAAACGGGTTAGTAGAACGTTTTCACCAACAACTAAAAGCGTCACTATCAGCCTCAAACATTTCTCAGTGGACTGACGCTCTTCCACTCGTCTTACTAGGCATACGCAATGCAGTGAAATCTGACATTGGATACACTGCATCTCAACTCGTTTATGGTACGACCCTTCGACTTCCAGGAGAGTTCGTGGATCCTTCATCCTCTTCGATGGACATGGATCTAACCTCCTACGCGAACAGGCTTACAAACGCAATGCGTTCAGTTAAACCTGTTTCCACTCGACCACAATCAACTGATGTTTTCGTTCAACCTGACTTACTACATAGTACACACGTTTTCGTGCGTCGAGACTCGGATCGACGACCTCTCGAATCAACATATGAAGGACCTTTCAAAGTTCTTCAACGCGAATCTAAGTACTATATAATCGATAAGAACGGAAACAAAGAAAGCATCAGTACCGATCGCCTCAAAGCAGCGTATTTAGAAGGAAATCCTATTCACGTCGATTTTCCTTCAATACAATCGCACGACACAACTCCTGCACTTATAATACCTCAAACGACAGCAGACACACATGTTGATACTTCGACAGTATCCGAAAATAAACTCAAAACAACGCGTTCTGGAAGAAGAGTAAGATTTCCAGAACACTTGAACGATTACTGCACGTAAGACACAAGTTAACATTTCATATTCTCTCGATTTTCCCTGGTACTATATATAATTTTTTTTAAAAAAAACCCGAATTTAATATGCTTATATATTTTCATTATTTTTTTATTTCAAAAAAGAAAAAACAAAAAATAACAATATTATAAAAATCCTTTTTTACGCTATTACGTGAGCATGAGTTTATTTTCCATTTCTTGCGCTCGCTTTGTGTTTTTACGCGCGTACGAGTGTATTTCGACATGCACTTACATATTTTTCTTTTCTTTTCCAGAACGACTGGAAAAGACGATGAAAAGAGCGATGAAGTTGCGAGAAACGAAAATCTGCATTGTACCTTTTTTATTTACTGTATTGTACATCATGGTCCATTATAGTAAGGAAAGACGACCAGACGCTGCTAAACCTAGCAAGCTATCAGAAGAGTGTTTACCAATGAAAAACTCGTTGGGTTTAAACTTCTGGCTGGCCACGTCTTAGGGTCATCACTACCCCACTAGGGGGGGAGTGATCTGTAGCGGTAAATAATTCCACAAAATCAAATAGCTCTGTAAGTTTTCGACATTGGATGCTGACCACAGTTTTAGTGGACTCATCTAGCTGAAGGCGCTCGGTCAAGCATCCGCACCAGATCACGTGTGGGAACGCCGTGCCCAACATCTGCCGCAATCGCTAGCCAGATTAGTGCAAACGATCCTCGATATATTGATAGCTTATCAAATATATCTTCGATCTCCTCACTTCTGTCTTTTGATTTTGCTTGGTGGGTGCGCTTCGTATTAGGTGTTACTGGTTAAAGCGTTGTCAAACTCCGAATACCTGTGGCATCTTCAATACACTTGGATGTGTTTACACCAATAGTTTTACCGAAAATGGCCGTAAACAAATTTAAATGATGTCTGTCAACTTTTATCCTTATTTCATAAAGACATTAGACTTTGAAAGCTAAGCATAGTGAGATCACAATCGATAAAATGTCTTTCTCCGAAATATCTATGAAACAAAACACTGTAAGGTGTTATTCCCAATATCTTTTTATTCAGAAACATGAATAATCTCCATCTAAGAACACCAATTTCTTTGTCGTAGATCACATTCCTCAAAAAGCACTCTATAAAATATAAAACCCTCTGTATTGTTGTGCCTGTATGACTCAAAAGTTCAAGTCAACCCAGAAGTGTACAAGGAAGCGAGTCTCAGGGCTAATGGAAAAACGTTACAAAGAAATATTTTTGATATCTTACATCATCTCGAATAAACCGACTACCTCAGAAAGTAATCTAGTGTTTTCCTCGAAATTGCCTGCGATCATATGTAGACAGGAATAGAAAAGCACAAGCCCAGATCAAATTACTTGTCAGCTGACTATCGACTTTCCCATAGATTCATCAACGAGTGGTATTCATTACCTCAGCACGTGGTTGAGGCTTCATTCGCCGATTCTCACATAAGATATTTGGATCAACTGAGAGACCACCACTGACAGGGCTAACACAAGCCATCAAACTTCCTGTCCTTTCCAAAGGGAAACTGAATGTTGAATGTTAACCGATTGACCTTCAGCTTTGTTAATAAAAACCGCAATATTCACAAATTAAGTATATTATCGTGTTTTTTTCAAATTCATGCTTTAAGCGCAAACGTTACAATGTCTAAGAATTTAAAGATGGTCAACGGTGAGAAACTTCTATTTGAAGACGTCGTAAGGTTTACTGGGTCCTTTATCTGTGAGAATCATGGAGATAAACTAAAAGAAGCTGCAGCGAAACTCATATTGACAAAACTTAACTCTAAAACCGAACTTTCAAGCCACTTGAAGTGTTATGAAACCTTCATATCATTTTACCCCGAAATATTAGTTACTGGTATCAGACTAGAGGGTCGAATTTCGCGTCAAGAGATACCTGGATTTTTTGTTTCTGCTAGGCATCCTAAAGCTTTGGTGGTTCTTTTTCAGCGATCGCCATCAGACGACGTTACTTTATATGGCATGGTCTTTAGTTCTTCGTCTAAGGCTCAAAAAGTTGCAGGATTTCTTGCAGAATCCAATCCTCAATTGAACGTGAAAGGAGAACCATCGGGTCCAAAAGTAAAATCTGTTACAATAGGTCCAAAGATACGCAAATCACCCGATAACTGCTACAAGGAGGTCAATGGTTTACCAAAAACCCATGAAATGTTAAATACTCTCCCGCCACCGGGAAATACGTTTCGTTCAGAAGTTACATGGAATAAAATTCCGGGTCAACAAAACAAAGGAAAATACTCCCCGAGTAGTAAAACTGTTCATCTTAATGGCTGTTTACCACACGAAGACCAACAGCTCGAGTTTGGTAGGCAGAGAACCACCCAGGTAAAAGGTACTCATCTAATGGACAGTCGCGGTGGGACGAATAATAATCACTCACACAGTGGACCAAATGTATCCAAATATAGCAGTTTTTATCCTGTAAGTGCGAAAAATCATGTTTCTTTTCGACAGCCTGCTGCTGGTTATAGCGATAAGATGTTGCGTTCTAGTACGGGCTTGATAATTAATCCCGAAGGAGCATTTGAGGAAAACGGATTCGATACTCCATTCCCTTATGATCCGAGTGAAAATATTGAAGAATTTTCTATTGGATATTATAATACTGAAGAAGGTTCTGGTGTCGACGATCGTGATTTACTTCATATAAAAGATGAAAAGGAAATGGACACAAATGATCCTCAGGAAAACCCTTGGGTTGAGAACATAACTTACATAAGCAACAATAAGAACGGTAGAGCAACAGTTACTTCTAATGGGTCTGTATATTTATATGTCGCACAGCAAGTTAATCCGAGATTTGAAATGACAGGTAAGTTCTTGCTGCGCCTTGTCTATGTATATTTATGAATTAAACTCCAAGAGGTATTATCATGCATAAGACAGGCAACGTATTCTAAGTTGATTTGACATATAAGATATTTCAGTACCTCATTTGGAACAAACATGAAGTTTATACGCTACTTACTAGTTTAAGTTATTTTTCTTAGTGAAGTTTGCGCCAAATGTTATTCATGGTAAGCCATATACGTTGTAAACTTTTAAAAAAAGTCTGTCATAGCAAACGTTTTAATTAAGACTTACGTAGATGCGAAAATTCATAAAATCTTAATGAAAAAGGTCTTAGTGACTGAATATGTCTTTAAATCTCAACTTCATTGCTTAAAAACAGAAAATGACATACAGTTAATATGTTATTGTTTTCAAAAGAAATAGTTCTTTGAAAATTTAGTACTTTAACTTTACTAAGATAGATAGGAATAAGTTTGTTCACTTTTAGTTTTTCCATGCTTTCTGAGTTAAGAAAGTAGGGCTAAGTATTTTAAAGTAGTTTTGAATGTGAATATTTATTTTCACTTTGGATGTAAACAATCTGCGAAGACATTATTTCACTTTTCTCTGCTGTGGGTTTAGTAAGAGTTTTAACTTATTGTATGTAGCCATAAAGCCCTCCCCCCAAATGCTCTGGTACGGCAAACAGTAGGGAGAGTCAGCTTTTTCTCTTGAAATGTTTTCACATAGCCACGTGCATACAACTACTGCCATGGAAGTCCTACTCATTGCCTTCTCGTGGCGGGGGTGTCGCCTATGAAATTAAAGGGACGAAAAGCCATTGTCCGGCGCTTTAACCGTGTTGAAGGATACAGACAGTTCACCTATAGGCGTCTGAAGACCCTGATTCCAAACCAATGGTGCATATCGGCTCCAGGATCCTAAGGAAACAAATGGCGGATGAACCTATTGTTGGTCACCGGCTACCATGGTACCACATCTTCTGACGTCGCTCCACTGCCTTGTGAATCAGACCTTTAGTTCGAAGGCTTGGGGTGTGGCCCCCTAAGAGAACCACCTGCACCTGAGCAGTACCACAGCCCTTACACGAATCGAGTGATTTGTGTGGCACATATGTATTCGGCACTTTTTTGTGCCAATATTTTTGTATTTAAATAAATAAATACGTGGACACACAGGTTTTTATTTCCTGTTGACTAAATTTTATTCATGTTAGATAAAATGAAACTTGTAAAATGTAAGACCATTTAATCTATTCCTAAGGTAAAGATTGTTCGTTCGAAGTATTAGAGTTGTTCTCCTTTTTGAAACAGAAATGTTTCAAAGTAAGATATATGCTTTTTGGTTTAATGGATGAATCAACTGATTTAACTCAATTCAAAAGCAGTGAGTTTCCCTAAAGACCTAAATTTCACCAACTACTTCAGTAAAAATAATAAAGCGTTGGAGCAAACCAACGTGTGTGTTATCATACTTTTAATTTTAACGAATTATTTTAAATTTCTTCTACCGATATCCACTTGTCAGTTCTGCTTAGTTTTGTCCATTTCCTGTCGGAAATGCTAACCACATTATTTTTATATTCTTACTCGACGCTAATTGCTGCCCAAATAGCTTGTTTATATTTGCTTGTTCCTCTTGTGAAGATCAAGGAAGTTAAATAACTTGTTCCTTAAAATCCTACCGTGTTATGTAATCGATGATCCAGCTGAGTTAAGTTCCCTTTATTATTCGTCTGTGATTATAAATTTTATTAAGGAACAAAACATCTGATGCAACTATTTCAAAATTGCTTGTACCGTTTTACCTTGCCATAGCACACCAACATACTTTGATTCAGGTTGAAAAACAGCCAGTTCTGGCTATGACTCGGGAAAGTGTTGCTAGTTATTCACGTTTAAGTGTATGGCGCTAAATTTTCCTCCATCTGTTGATTTGTCAGTGTTTACACAGCAACTTACTCGAGGAAGCTCATGTCATCAATTTTTAGTCTTTCTGGCATCACCACTCCCCATCGCTTAGAAACAGATCACCGGCTAATCAACATTATCTTCAGCTATAGTCGTTTATATGCAGTTGGGCTATAAAGTCCAACCAAAGTAAGAGTAAACAGTAATGGGAAGCTGTAAATTTTTCTAATATTCTTCTCTGTTTCGATAAAGTACAGTCAACATTGAATGAAGGATAAATTTCTTCGTCGAACGAATAATCTCAACAGGGAGTCCTAACCGCGAATACTATAGTACTAGATGGGGACTTGAACGCGTACTTAAGTACTGAATAGAGCGGCTTTTGTAAATAACGTGAACTCATCATTTGCAGATCAGATTATGAGGGCTACCTTCCACAGCTTTGTTCATAAGATAAAATACGTCTAATCGGTTTCATTTTCTGGCAGAGTTCCAGTTGATTAATAAAATGACACTTTGTGTATACAGGTTGTTTAAGCAATGTAAACCGTAGCAGTCAAAACAGATTAATTTGGTGAAAACAGCTGTATACCTGGTAATTACTAGAGGTTAACAAGACTAACCTAAACCTCCGGTAGTAACAAGCCTAGTTTCGAGGAAACATCCGACGATAACATAGTGTAAGTAATATCAAAGACTACCACTTCGACTAATGTCATACACCAAAAATAACGACTTTGATTATCTAGATGGACTTTAGGAATATCAACTCAATGGCTTTTACACTTCTCTTAATTTGCTGTTGATAGGACAATCAAAAAGTTAGTTATTTTATAATAAGACTTCGTGGAACAAAAAAGCCGCATAGGACTAACATATATTGGCTCATCACTGAACTGTGATCGAGGTTTTTAATTTCATAGAGCCTGATTTATCCAGCAACTATCCTGATATAGTTTTATGTTATAGACTTAATTAATGTAAAATGGATCTTATTAGATAAAAAAATCATTTTGGTTACATTTTTAGTCATACTAAACTCATTAATTATAATTTTTAATCCGCTAGTAAAATATACTGACCTGTTGTGTTATATTTCTCAATAAAATTATCGATCTCCCTCGTACGTCTCATTTTTAGGACCTCACAGCACCATTTTGTGGAACAGATGAAACAAAATAAATTAACATTGGTTAGGTTGCTATTAACTGAAATCCATATACAATCAAGCGTTTTCCTTGGGTGATCTAGATGCACAGTGTTGTTGTCTTCCTAAAAACGGGAGTGAAATTTGGGAAATTTTCACCCTGAATGCGTTAAACTTCATTGCTTTTCCAATTTACAGTGCAGGTATTAACTTTCAATTAGTACAGCCTCAATACTATCAAACTAAAAGTAAATGCGTACTCAGAAGTGATTATTTATCTGGCTTAAATTGATATTTTTTCCTCTCTTTGATCACTCTCTCAATTACGCTATATTATCAGCTTTCTTACTAAAATCTAAGAATACAAATTTTACAATTCAAAGCAGAGCTTAACTGAACAGGTTTGATAAGTCACAATTGATTGATCATTAGGTGGTGATCAATGTCATGTGTGTCAAGTCCTTCTTAGTGCAGATCGAATGTTATCGATCAAGTCAGGGAGCGCCAGTTCCTTCAAGATTACAGGTACACCTTTCTGACGAGTACCAAGTAGCATGAAACTCGGGTCAAGGGTATCCTGTTAACTACCTCCAACCACCATCTAAGGTTTGATAAGTCCTTAACGTTCTTTAACTGGTGAATATAATATGGTTCTATAGTTTTGTCCTTTTATTTCATTTAGACCATAATTTTTTATATTGAACTTTCTATTACATTTAGTGTCTGAATTTAGTTTTCTCTGACTTTCGTTACTTAAGTTTTCTACCATCATTTAGACATAACGCACAGTAATATTTTAACTTTTACGTTATGTATAATTTTTTCACACTCTTAAAACTTTACTAAGTAAAGGCTACAGAAAGTGCGTTAATATTTACTCCAATAAAATCATATTTGCATCCTTTTCTCATTTAGGCTACATGGTTCATGTAGTATTTATTTCATTTTCAATGCTAGTATTTAAAAAATTCTAGTTAAGATTGTTCACGCATATTTACCAAAAGAATAAAAAACGGCACGAGAAAAAGATTAACTCACAAATAAACGTCATAAAATAAATAAAAGAACCTATTGATTAATAAAGCCGAAAATTGGCACTTGTATTATTGATATAACAAATCGGTACATTGCACACGAGTTTACTTTGAAGGAAAAAGATAAGATTGAATAACAAGAGGTTGGTTTTAATGGCAAAAAGGTCTCAATCATTGAAGCGAGTGTTATATTTACATTGTAGAGCGAATTTATTTCTTCTAACCTTCCTAATATACTTTACTCTTATCATAATTGTTATGACTGAAATTGACTTCTGCTTTTCTATTGTTTATGTTACAGTTTATTAAATTAAACAAATTATCTATAATCTTTCTGTTATTTGTTGTAGATTAAGACGAATGATATGTGTTTACGCAGTAATCTATCCATTATTTATAATCGAAAGGAAACAAATCAGATATCGTTTTGTGATTATTTTTACTATCATTGACATAAAATTTAAACGTTGTACATAAAACTAAAAAGTGTAAAGGTTTAGAGTAATATTTAACCTAATTATTGATTACTTTATAAATATATTTGTTTGTATAAGAATGTGTTTTTCTATTGGGATGGCCATAATCACTTCTTTACACAAGCTTACGAAATGAAAGTTAAGCTTAAATTGCCTTATTTCTCATTGATCAGGATATATCAGTCTGTTAAAGTGATATGTAATTAATAACGTTTGAGTTTATTTTCAAGTGAATAAACAAAAGTTTATGAATATCAGCTTTTAAGTCGTGGTTTTCATCTTGTACTAACAATAGATGAGGTTATTTCTATAACCAAAGAGAATCAATCATTTACTTTCTTCTTGAATGGGATGTTTGACGCTTTATATCAGGAACTGACTGAAGTCGTAAATATTAACTATTTGATTTTAACCCGATGATATGAGAGTTACGCCTCCACCAAAATACTTGAAGGTCCTGAATCTTGTCCATAATGAAGTCGTGAGCGCACATAGCTGAATGGTTTCATAGTAGGGAGAAAAGGTTGTCAAGTGCTCTATAGATTCACCACTATTTTGTTTGGTCCCGTTCTGTTACAAAAAGCATTTAGGAACTTGACTTACTTTCAAAAAATGCTTTATCAAAATTATTGAATCCTTTAATTTCAAAGATAAAAATCTACAAAAATGAAGGGCATATATTTGTTAAAAGTGAAATAATTTAAATAGTAATTCTATATCACGCTATGAAAAAGCAGCCTTAAATAATACTTCTGTATTTCTAGTAGCTATAGTGACTGAAACGTATATTTTTAATAGGTTTATTTCAACCATGAATGTATGTCATTCTTAATAAAGTAAAGTGGAAAGTACGATTTTGAAAATCTTCAAAAAAACAGAGGACGAATAACGACAAGGAAATGGACAACTGTGTAAACACACACTATCCATTTATGTTTAATAATGAAAGTAATTGATCAAAATGAGAAATTCCAAAGTATTAACTTTCGCCAATCTGGTAATCAAAACTAGAAACGGAAAGTAGGGTTTAGATAAATTGAATGAAGGCGATCGAAATTTTAGCACTAATTATATAGTTTCATGATCTTAGGCTATCCAATAGTATTAATATACTTAAATGAATATGTAAATAAAAGTCAGAAGTAAATGGTTTCTTTATCATTGAATTCCGTAACGACCCAGATTACTGTTTGTTCACTAATTAGATCAGATGAATTCTAAGTGATTTGTATTGAGTATAAAGAGATTATTTTGCTGATAATAAAAATATGTCTACAGTTAATAAAATAGTATTTGTTAGTCAATAGGATTTCGTTGAGATGTTAATGTTATTACAGAATAATAAATAAGAACTGTCGTCTAAATTTGAACGAATAGTTTCACAATATTTGGGCGCCGAGTTAATGTGAGACATTAAAGAGAAAAAATGTATTTGTAAAATCTCAGCGAATGAATTTTAAGTAAATCAAACGTTTTGCCTGGCAATCTGGTCCAAGCTTTTCCAGGCGAAACGTTGGATTTACTTAAAATTCATTCGCTGAGATTTTACAAATACATTTTTCTTGTTAATGTTATTATTTTCTAATATATTCATTAAATAGTGGAAGACATCAGCAACAAAATTAGGTTGATAAAGTTATTTAGAGACTTTTAGTTTCGTTTTGTCAGAGAAATACAGAATCATATACTACAAGTTCAGTTTCCATATACTTGTTTAAATCATCAACTGACCAGTATATTATGAATAACATGATTTAATCTAGCTCTTGACTTTCAACGAATTTCATCAACCACGTTTCAGTAGCATTATTAGAAAAGTTAATAATTTAGGCTAGTCTATAAGTGAGTTGAAATTTTTCATTGGATTCGGACCTATGTTACAGTGTTGTGACTGATCTAATTCTATCAGATATAGAAACATTATAATATCGGTTAGTGATAAGTTTAGATTAGGAGATAACGACAGTGAGTGACCTATATCCAGATGTAACAAAGAATATGTTTCATACACTTTAGAGTGAGCAGCAGCAACCGCCGCAAAAACCAAGTTTACTATCTCTTATTCATTATCTCTAATCATCTAAAGTTTACTTTTCTCAATCGATCAAAGCTTGCTACCATTCAAAAGACATGCCATATAGAAATGTTTGGAATAGGATGAGACTGCATATCCTTATAATTGTAATCATATAGACCAATCTTATGTTACTTATATAACAAGGTTACTGGCAAACATTAGTTTTTGATAACTTATCAGAATATGCATTTCTGTACACTGTATATATATATATATATATATATATATATATATATATATATATAAATTTTTGTTGAAAATATTAGTTCCGTCAGGACATAAGAACAAGTAATAACCGTGATGATGTATTAGTAAAATTATAAATTGCATAATAAGAATCAGCCAAAAATATTGTTAACAAATATGTCATTGAATAGCATCCTATTATATCCATAGTTAACATATGTGCTCATAAATAAATGTCATTGAACTGTGTTTCATACGTAAGTATTTTAGGCGAACTGGAATGTTAAAGTAAAACGGTCAACAATTTCAGATCATAGGACGCAGTAAGACGGTTGATTATTTACAGTGTTGGATTCGAAAAAACTGTGTACTTGACAAAAAACTATTCAACATAGATTTAGGAGAGATTATATTGATAACTATTTTTAAATTCAATAAACGCTACATACTTAACATGATTCCTTTTCGAACAAACATAGCTATAAATAGTACTAATGTTCAAATAATATCTAACATTTCTCTTCATCCATATTACAAGTTATGTTCAATCATAGTTATACAATATCAACTTTGTACATAGTTAGCTGGTTATTAACAACTGAATAAAAATGAAACGAAAAAATTTGATTAAAAAGTATCTTCAGTTTATCACTTATTTGTTTATATAAATAACTGATACTGAACATTTACTTCGAAAAATTCTGACTACGCATTATTTGAACAATTATAGGCTGAGCTTGATAAGCCAAGTCCTATGTATAAATAAATAAATAACACAATTTGTTTAAAATAATGTCTATATCATTTCGGAATAATTGCATGATGTTCAAAATGTATGATCCAAATATTAACTATCGATTCAGTGAATATGGATGATCTCTGCCTCTACCTGTTACACTTATGTGAACAGGAAACGATATTTCCACTTCATGTTGTTTTCGGTGTTTAAATTTCTGTCATTTACTGAATGAAGACTAACTTGCAGATTGGATTACATTTAAAATGTTTGTTGTTTACGAGATCAATTCAATAAAAGTCCTGGTTGAAGTTGTTATTAATTTGCGGATGACGAATATTTCAAATGAATTTTGTGCTTTTATCAAGAATCACACAATGTATAATATGTTTCTGTTAACTGTCAATCAGTTGTTAGCCTTAATGAATAAACGTACTGGGTGGTGGGAAGGGAATCAGGAAGAGATTTCTTAGTTTGATATTCGTAGGATTTTTGCTTAACAATACTTATATAACAGTTTCGCGGATCTAATGACTGTGGTTCCACTTGTGAAATGCTATTATTTAAGGTACGTAGTTCATCTGGGGTACAAATATATTTGTTATTTGAAGTTGAAGATGTTTCATGAGTAAGCTAATTATGACAAGAGTTGAGGTTAAATGAACACATTCAGCTTAGATAATTGACAAGTTAAAATTATTAATGTTCAATCACAGTTATATAATATCAAGCATCTACTTAGTTAGCTAGTTTTTAATAACAAATAAATTTATCAATTTATTATCAAAAGTAATATATAAATTACTAATTTGTACATCCTAAATGAATATATTCCTGTGAAAAATATTTTCCGAATTATTCACAACATTCAAGTTTTAAACTATTTATAAGCGATAAAGTACTTTCATTGTTCTTCTTGACACTTGTTTTTCTTCTTTAATAACCGGTAACAATGATATACATAGATATGCACACATTACTATTCTATTTGATACAAGTCAAAATCAAAATAGATTTTTCGTTTCAAGAACAACAACAACAGCAAAACATTACTACTTATAATCATTGATATTCTCTAACAACTATTAATGTTAATCATGTGAATATAATCACCATAGAATACTATGCAAAATAATACAAAATGAATAATTTCATTTTAAAAGAAAAATATACATTTGATAGAATCAAAAAAATAAAGTGTATATAGAGATTATTAAACATCAATTGAATAATTTATTAAGTAAATATAGTTAGATATGTAATTCGAAACAAAATTACTAATGTATAATCAATATCATACTAAAAATGTCTACTCAATATTTACTTTATTTGAAATCAACAAATGTATCCTTGGTAACAATATATATATATATATATATATAGTATCAGTTTATTAATTTACCGTAAAACATTTAAGAGAACTGAACAATTCAATGTTATTGAAATGAGCGTTAGTAGATAAAATAAAACGTTATTAAAGCTGTGATTAGTTGTAAGTAACCTATTTTTGCTAATGTTCATCTAACACTACCATTGATCAACAGTGAATAGTAACTAATCTCTTATTACATGTTTAGGGAAATGTAAAATAACACTTTGGTGTTATAAAAGATGTTTTTGCTGTTTATCTTCCTTTAAGTTTTGAGTCTCAAAATAGTTATATATTCTGTTTTTAATTACTCGAACTCATTATTTCTTCTCGATTCATACTATTTGTATTTAATCTATTTTACTAGTAACAATAACGTTAATAATTCTGTTATTGTGGCCTTTGTAATGATAATTTTATATCTCTGTGATACTGTGATATGACAACATAAAACAACGTATATTGAAATTAGGCTCTATATTATATATGAATGACTGACTGAAAAATACTGTGTTTAATAGTACAATTTGCTTGGTATTGTTTGTTTGAATCTTCCCATTAATGTTTAAGATTGTAATTGATCAATCTCTTGTTGGCGTATGTGCATACTGTACGTTTGTCAGTCCTAAATATCAATGGGAAGATTTAAACAAACAATACCAAGTGAATTTAAACTTCACCACATTACACAAGCAGGTGGCTATCAGGA